CAAACTCTTTCTTAACTAACTCCTGTATTTTTGCATTTTTAATAAAAATGATCTTTTATAAATCTATTTGCGTACAACTCAGCCAACTCATCCTTGGGTTTTTGAAAACCTTGTTGTATTTATGATTGTTATTGCGAGTCTTCACTTGAAATAATTGCAACTTTCTAGCATATATTGCATAAATTATCCAAGGATATTGTTTTGTAGCATTCTTATCTCTAACAAAATTTTTAAGGTTCTTTGCCCAAATGATACCCCTATTTGTCCTAATAGATAGTACAACATACTTAACTCAATGTAAAGGGTTTGTGCATTGGGATCATACGTTAGGAACTTACTTCTCATCCTAGTAGCATCATTAACCATTTCATCCTCATCACTAACAGGCTCACCATACTCATCACAGTCATAGTACTCACTCTAATATCCATCATCAACATCTTTATTGATTGGTGATGTTGAATCTAGTTCCATCCCAAAGTCATCCCCTTTATTGCTATTTCCATCAGTTGCATCTTTAACTTTTATCCTAGCCATATCTTTATTTTCTACCCTTGCTGCCCTTTCCACCCTAACCACATTTTCATTTCCTGCCACATATTTATTTTTTACTCCTGATGCCTTAATATTATTTTTAATTCCTACCCTTGTTGCCTCAACCACCTCTTCAATTCCTATCCTTTCATTCCCTACTGCGTCACCTATATGTTGATTTTCTACCCTTTCATTCCCTACTGCATCAACTACATGTTGATTTTCTACCCTTTCATTCTTTATTATCTCAACTACATCTTCTACTTCAAGTCATGTTAACAGCTCAGGAGCTAAAATAGCTTCGTCTATATCATATACTATATACACATTAACTACACCTAGATCTATCATTTACCTAATCATATCAAAAGTACTTCTATCATCATTTACTACCATCAGGCCATCAGCTAGTGTTTTTTCAAGTTTTAAATACAATATCTCACTAATATTCATTTATCCAACCTCATTACAAATGTCTAATAACTTAAAGTAAGATATCTTATCAGGATCAACTGTCAGTTCCTCTACTATCTCATTTATATATATTAGATTTATGATCATTACCAACAAAAGCCCCATTATAATAAAATCGCAAAATAAAATAATCAAAACTGATACTGTAAAACTAAAAATTTTTTTTTATCATAATAAACCATAAATTCTAGCAATAACAATTGATAAGTGCTATAAGAATCATTTTCAGCAAAAATTTATGTTATAAGTGTTATAAGAAATCCTAAATCCCTGACAATGAAAATTATAGTTAGTTTAAGTGTGCATGTCCCTTACATTATTATCTAATTTTTGTTATAATCTTTTACTTTGTTATAAAATTTCTATTATAAGCTTTTACTTTGTTATAACCAATGGTCTTTTTTCAAAATGCAATTTTCTTTTACAATAAGTTTTTTATGTACACATTCTGACTCAAAAGTTTAGCATGTTTTTCTTGTGTTATTTTGTTTTTAGAATTAGAATTCACATGATTGACTTGATGTTGTTATTTGGTAATGCTTTTGGCAAGATAATTTATAAAGTGGACTTAAGGTTGTGATCATGCTTATAATTAAGCTTGGCTATCTTTCTAGTGATTTTGTAGCCTGTTCCATGGCTGGTTCTTATGAGGTTGTGATCATGCTTATACTTAAGCTTGGTTACTTTTCAAACTTAACCCTATTTATAATCCTAGCTGCCATGAATTATTAGTTTTTTTTTGTTTTGTGTGAAATAATATTTATTTTTATGCTGATTAATTAGCTTCACTTACACTATAAATTAAGACAACAGTGATGGGTGATCACTTATGCTAACACTAGTTGAGGCCTTTGAGATAGGTAAGAATCAAAAGGCTATATAACAATTACGTTTAAATAGAATATGCCCAAACAGTAGAAAATCTTAACTATAAATTCAAGTAAATAAGAACAATAGTAGAAAACCCTAACTATAATTTCGAGCAATTAAGAACAATAGTAGAAAACCATAACTATTATTTCAACCAATTAAAAACAATAACAGAAAATTTCAAATATAAATTTGAGCAATTAAGAACAACAACAGAAAATCTTAATTATAAATTTGAGCAATTAAGAACAACAATAAAAAAATCTTAACTATAAATTTAAGCAATTAAGAACAAAAATAGAAAACCGTAAATCTGAATATGTCTAAAAATGAAGAACTGCAAAAAACCCTAAACTACAATATGCTTAACTTCGAAGAACAAAAAAAACCTTTAAACATAAAATGGCTAACTATGAAAAACTACATAACCCAAAATATACGTATATATTATTCACTATATTATTCACCTTACAAAAATTTAACAAGAAAATAACAACTAACCTTCCAAATTTCCAAAGCTCAAACAATTAAACCCTAAAAAGAATCAATTATTGAAATGTAATTGATTGAACCAAATATTGGTTAGCCTAAAATAGAGTTTAAAAAAATGCTTACCTCACATAAATTAATAAATGAAATTGAATCAATGATTGAAATAATTTGTGTGGGTGATTAAGGTTAAGGGCAATCTGCTATAAGTTTGGGACCTTTTAGTTTTTTTTTATTTGGTTAAACGTAATTTTTTTTGCTAAAAACTTTTCATTTTTTTCTTAGAATTATAATAAAAAATCCAAATCAGCATGAATTTGCCTAGTCAATTATTTCCTATTCTTTTTACGTGTTATAACGACGCATAATATGCGCATCCCTTTTACCGTTGAAATAAATCATACATTGTTATAAGTCGATAACGTTTGATCCTTATTTGAATAAATTAAAATGTTTGGTCTTGAATTGACCGATTGTTTAAACATTTGATCCTGATTTGAGCATTTAGCAAAAAAAAAAAAAGTACTAACGCTAACACAAGTTGCTACAATATAAAATTTTTTATTTTTTAATTTATATATGAATTAAAATAAAAAAATTAACTAATAAATGGCCAAAAAATTAATAAATTACAATGTTAATTTTAGTAAAATTTTAATTGCACAGAAAGCTTACCAATTATGATATTTTGAAAAGTAATGTTAATATTTATTTATATAACCAATCATAATTTAGATTAAAAAAATATAATTTTAGTTCATAATTCATTAAGTTTACTTCAACTAGAATTTATTAATCCATTGTAATTCATAATATAATCAAATATGGATAAAAAGAAAAAGTTAATGAAAATATAAATCATATGAAATCTTAAAAGGTTTGTTGTAACTCAGTAAAGAATTTAGAGATGTTTTCATACTATGATGCTATATATATGTACTAAATTATTTGTTTTTGATAGTGAGAAAATACTTGTTCCCATTCTTTCTATTCAAATAGTATTTGTTTTATATTTGTTTCATGTAGTATTATTAAGTGGGAAAAGATCAAGATATAAAATTTTAATACGATGACACTTTTTTCATTTTTGTTCAATATATATATATATATATATATATATATATATAGTAGGGATCCATTTATATTAGTATAAAAGTTATAAATTTTTTTACCTTTGGATCAAAATTAAATTCATAACACTTACATTTAGTCATTTTGATAAAAATTGAAAAAATATTAATAATTACAATAATATAAATGGATCACTCCTTTTATATATATATATATATATATATACACACACATATATTGATATTTTTTCAAACCTCAAAGAGATCTTTGATTGAAACATGAGAATATTGATTCAGGTTTAGTTATATGAAAATTTCTTCTAGTCACTACTTAAAGGCCTTTACATTAAAAGAAAAAAAAAATTTATCTTGATGTAAAACATTTTGATTAAGCAACTGAGAAGTTGTTTCAAACACAATGCAATTTCACAATAACTTTTTCAATCGTTACAAATTGGAGAAGATTTTACAACAATAACATTTTATTTTCAAAAAAAATAAAGATTTTGTAATAAGTATTTTGATTATTGTATAAAATATTTTTAAAAAATTAATTTAACAACAATTAAAAAAGTTGTTACAAATTTAATAATCTTTCATAATAATTTTTTTTATCGTTATGAATATGATACAAATATTATAATTACTTTTTTTTTTATCGTATAAAATATTTAAAAAATTAATTAGACAATAATAATAAAATATTGTTACAAACATAAAATGATTTCGTAACAAACTTTTTATTATCATTATCAATCTTATAAGAATTTACAACAATAAAAATTATTGTTGTATAAAATATTTAAAAAATCAAATAAAAAACGACTACAAAAATTGTAATAAATAAAATAATATTTTGCAACGAGATTTTTAATCATTACAAATTATGGTTGCTAAAAGTCCATTTTTTAGTAGCAAAGGGAGGCATTGGAACAGAGATAAAGCTGCGATAATATGTGTAATGCCGATTAGCTTACTAGGTAGTCCTGATGTACTCGTGTGGCGCCACGATAACAAAGGAGAATATACGGTTAAAAGCGGGTACAAACTCCTTAAGGAAGAAGAGTAACTAGGTTGACAACATGGAGGAAATTATGGGAGGCAACTGTTCAACGCAAAGTTTGAATGCTGTTATGGCGGTTTTGTCGCGAGATTATACCAACCAAGACGAATCTCAACCGAAAGAAGGTAAATGTAGCTACAGCATGTGCCAGATGTGGTGAAACGGAAGGATCGGCTCTACATCCAGGACTAAACTGCCCGCACGCCGTAAGTGTGTGGAGGCAGTTAAAACTATACCAGGAATGGAACAACTTACCAGATGCTGCGACGTGATTAAACAGGCATGCAACCTTTTAAAAGACGGGTAACTGGAGTTGTTCATGACAGCTTTATAGGGGATATGGTGGGAACGAAACAAGGAAATGCATGAAGACCGCAGGAAAACACCATAAGAAACTGCTGTGTTCATCCAAAACAATAATGCAGAATTCGCCATGGCACAAGTGAAGAGGGGAGGGCCAGTTGATATCACCACCGCAATGGACTTAGCCCAGAGATGGGATGGTGAAGATAAACCTTGATGGATCATTCAGTCACCAAGGGCGAACAGGAGGTACCGAGATTATTATCAGAGATCAAAACGGTGGAGTTCTTGGAGCTGCAGCAATCTGCATAGATAAAGCTAACGATCCCTTCCAGGTTGAAGCAAGTGCTGCAGTGAGAGCTTTAAACTTTGCAAAAGAGATGGGTTTCACAAAAATTATGCTCGAGGAAGACTGTTTAACAGTGATCAGGAAACTTAAGGAGATGGAGCAAGATCTCTCCCCCATTGGTACCGTTATAGAGGAAGCTAAGTGGAGGATGTCTAGGCTTCATGAGTGCCACGTAATGCATTTACTGCGATCTGGAAATATGGTAGCTCACCAGCTTGCATGTTACAGTTTACATTTAGCTAATGATGAGTACCGCCTAGAAGACTATTCTAATGTAATATCTGCAGCTTTGCATGGAGACTGTAATCAAGTTTGTAATGAATTCCATTTTACTTTAAAAAAAAAAAAGAACAATAAAGGTCTGAATTTATTGAATTTCGAGGTGAACAGAATAAACCGTTCAACACAAACTAAGGAAGATTCATCAAACATGAGGAAAAAACTAACATCCACGAACCCATTGAACATCCATGAATAGCAGAAGAAGAAACTTTTCCCTGAATAAGATCGGACACGGTTGATAGAATTGAAAGAAAGATTGACAGAAAAAATAACAAAAGCCAAGGGCCAACATTATCAACATTCATGCAATTCAATGGCACAAGGTCAAATTAAATATCGTCAGCACAAACCACCAAAACTATTATTACTGAATACACTAAATTAGTACAGTTTTTACATATTCTACAGCAAGATTATCATGCAGTGCTGCATGTAAAACTGTCAAAAAGTGTAAATGGAGTATAATACATTTCTAGAAAAAGTTGACTCCCAAATGTTTGTAAATAATCCAATTGGGAGATGATTTGAGTTAGCATAACATTAAATAGGAAAATGAAAGGAAAAGGAATTTCCCGTGTTTTTCATAATTTGTGTCAATGCTAGATCTTCAATATTCTGAGGCACAGATAAGGATCTATCCTCTATTCTTTCTTGGATCTTAAACTTTGTTTTTGGTGCATTTGGATCTTAAATTTTGAAGTTGTCAATATTTCTATTCTTAATCCCCATTGTCAGGAGGATGCCACAGACTTCACCGACATAACCTTTATTCATATATTCTCTTTCTCTTCAGAAGGGTAGGAAATATGGAGATTGATCCAATAAGGAAAAGCACAGACAAAGTCTTAAAATCGTAGAGATCCTTGATGGACCTAAGATCCCCAAGAGCAAGGCCAGCCTGAAAGAAGATATAAGGAGAATCATAAATCAGTAAAAAAAGTTAAGCCAACATGTATGCAACACCATCAAGAAAGACCTTATAAAAAGAAATAAATAAGACACATATAACATGAACAAAAAGAAAAAGAAGGGGCTATCAAATGAACATAATAATGTTCATTGACCTTTCTACTTTAAATTTATGTGCTTCAGGCCTAGTAGGGACAATCAAAACAACAACCCTTCCTTGCTGGACTTTGAGACATCACATCCATACTTCATTAAGCTTACTATCTACTTGCACCTTTTTTAAGCATCAAATTATTCATAGAAAGAATATGTTTACAGATTTGAAAATAGGAAAAGATTAAAAATTAGTTCTCCAAAGCATTACAGATCTCTTCTTATCAATCCCTTCAGAAAATTCACAAAGATAAGGCATCTAAAGATATGATTGGATCTTGTGATGTTATCATCCAGTTGCAGAAATGATACAATTGGGCTGAAAGGTAAAGAGGTGATCATGAAGGAAGTTGGCAGCAGAATGCTAAGTGAGGTTAAAGGAGCTATCACATGAAGTATGAAGACCTTGTTGAGTAATTTAGGGATAAGGAAGTTGTTGATTAGTTATGCATAACCGTGTGATAGTGACACTAGGGAATGAGCTATAGTTATGCATAGTGCTACAAGTAATTTAGGGAATGATTTATAAATATGTAAAACGATCATTTCAAGGTCATGAATTCTCTCTCAATTTCTCTTTCTTTTCTGGTCTCATACTCTACTCTCTTTTGGTCTGATCTCTCTCTTCCATCACTATTCATTTTATCACAAATTGGTATCAAAGCTGTATAGATAAAAACACCATGGAAAAACATAAAAAGCAACCATCCATGGTAGAGGGTATTCGATATAATGTCCTCCATGATCAAGTTCAAGTGTTGAAAGAAAAAATGAAAGCAATGCAAGATATTGTTCCAAGATGGTGGACGTACAAAAGAAAAGCATTGAGGCAATGTTAGTCGAGAATCAGAAGGCCATGCTAGATAAAAATAAGAAGTAACTGCAACACATTATGGATTTGTTGAATCCAAAAGGAATATCGCAAGCTCAATCAGAGCTAGTAGGTGCAGCCAACGACAACAGCAACCAACCTGCCACCTCTTTACTCAAAAAAGATGGTAAGTCTCCTGTTGTAATCACTGTGATTGATGACCAAGGGAAATATGTCTGTAAGACTAATGAACCGAGGTTGTTATCTAATACCTAGCTTGAGTCTACTAGTAGTATTCTTGAAGATAGAACACAGCAGTGCAAGAACCATGAATTTATTGAAGGTAGTAACCCTTATACTGCTATTAATGCATATACCCCAAAACCCAAGATTGAACTACCCAATTTTGATGGACATAACACCAAAGGGTGGATCAAGAAATGTCAAAAGTATTTTGCTATTTTTTTCCATTTCAGACCATCAAAAATTAGAAGTGGCAGCAATATGTTTGTCAGGGAAGGCAGAAACCTGGTTTGATACAGTGACTTGGTCAGAGTTTGCTCAGAATTTGTGCAACAGGTTTTGTAATAGGACTTACGCCTATGTGATAGAAGATTTTAATAAGTTAGTTCAGAAAAGTACAGTGGAGGACTACCAGAAGAGGTTTGAAGAATTGAAGTCATACATGCTACAATTTAACCCCCACCTAAACGAAGAATACTTCATTTCCAGTTTTGTTAGTGGGCTCAAGGAGGACCTAAAACCTAGGGTCAAAGCTAATGTAGAACATGGTGAAGTCCCAATTCCCTTCTTTTGACACTTGGGGATAAGGATACCTTTAAGGGGCTGGTAATGTGATGTTATCATCCAGTTGCAGAAATGATAAAGTTGGGTTGAAAGGTAAAAACACCTAGACCATGAAGGAAGTTGGTAGCAGAATGCTAAGTGAGGTTAAGGGAGCTATCATGTGAAGTATAAGGATCTTGTTGAGTAATTTAGGGATAAGGAAGTTGTCAATTAATTATGCTGAGTAATTTAGGAATAAAGAAGTTGTTGATTAGTTATGCATAGTCATAGTGGTGCGAGTAATTTAGGGAATGAACTGTAGTTATGCATAGTTGTGTGATAGTGGTACAAGTAATTTAAGGAATGAGCTATAACTATGTAAAACAATCATTTCAAAGTCATGAATGAAAATTACCACTGAATTCTCTCTCAACTTCTCTTTCTTTTCTGGTCTCATACTCTACTCTCTTCTGGTCTAATCTCTCTCTTCCATCACTATCCATTTTATTACAGATCTTATTGAATCATCATTTACCTCTTACATATGACTCTCCAATAAATTGCATCAAATTGAATCTCAACACAAACTCTATAACTTTTATTTCTTTCCAATACGAATAGACCTGATTCAATTACAGTCAACGATTAACTAAAATGGAGACAAACCAAATGACCTATTCATTGAACCCCTACCTGATATATATTCAGTTTCACTAGAACAAGGGATCCCTGAATCTTCAATAATATATAATACTGTAAGAAAGCTACCATAATTATAATGAGTGCTTTATCAACAAGCATCAACTTTAAACTCACAAAAAATTATGTCTTAAATTTTTCTTGGAGAGTTATAGTTTAACAAATCATTTGACAAACTGTCTGATTGAAATCTTCCTAAATGGTTAATACAGTCCAATGACTCCAGGCATTTGGCTCAAGGTAGGAACCCAATTTAGACATACTATAGCCTGACCTTATGTGCTATACAATCTTGTAGAAACTATTCTCCCTCCAAGTTGTTAAGAGTGCACATCAATTATTTTAAAACTTTCAAGAAATCCTCCAATATGTAGTTTGCCAAGGCAATGAAAAAAATGCTCAGAACAATATTGCCATTAATCTGGGCTTTAGAACAGAGTTAACTTAGAAAGCCCTGATATTTTTTCCTTTTAGCAATATGTGACCAAACATATTTGCCCTTCACAAATTGTTCAATATCCATCATCAAAAACTGTTTTAACTAACACGTTATCTAACATCATTTACACCTATGCATTACAGGGCATAGCAATAAATTGGACAAGATAGAGTATCTGCTTTCTTTCAACAAATCAATTCAGATGACAATTCCAATATTAACAGAAAAAGAATAGAAAAAACAAATCAAATCCATAAGCAAGGCAAGAAAACAATTGTGGCACAGGTGCAGGACACTTACTTTCACCGTTATATAGGAAGCTGGGATTAGGCCAATAAAAGTTGCTAAAAAGAACACATGAAACGGTATGTCGACTATTGGCGAAGCCAAATTAATAAATAGGTTGGGTAAAGTTGGAGTAATTCTCAGAAAGAGCATGTAATTCAGCAACCTTTCCCTTCGTTTAGCAATCTGATTCCACAAAAATACAGATTAATTTGGGTACAAAGAGGATGGTAGCACAAAACAAATGAAAGATGCTAAATTAGGAGAAAACAAGCATGGCAAGTTCCAAAGATGGTAACAAGGATAAAAAAGTACCTCTGCTTGAAAAAATCTTAATTTATCAGGCCACAACCAACTAACCAAGGGCCTGCCAATCAGCTTTGACAGAAAAAAGCAGGAGCATGCTCCAGCTGTGGCATTAAAGACAACCAAGAAAAGGCCTTTAACACCAAAGAGAGCTCCAGCTAGCAAAGACATGAAAATTGTTCCAGGAATCATAAAGGTTTGCATGAAGATATAAGTTGAGCAATAACCCAAAATGAATTGTGTTGGGTAGTCTTTTGCATATGTTGCAATATTATCTCTGAAAAAGATTAAAAAAGAAGACTTTAGTAAAATGAGTTGCATTAAAATATGAACATGTTGAAAGAAGTAGTCAGCAACAAAGTAGAAATGCCTAGCAACAAGAAAGTAATGAATAAACAAATAAATTAAAACAAATGACAGCAATAAATTAAGAATGGTAAGTTGGGCAACAATGCATTGTAAATATACAGATGGAGAAATTAATGAAACTCAATGATGGAATTTCGCAAAAGAAAAAATCAAAGCAGAAGTCAGATACAACCAAATAAAATCTTGACAAGTTATTTTACATAAAAAAAAAAATGGAATTATACTCTAATTGAGATTTGATCCTTTCAAAACATGATCACTCAGAATATACAATTTCTATATGAGAAATATTTAGTACTTTGCCGTATCTACTCCATTGATCTACTCAGCATGTATTCCCTCGCATGATAAACAGATGAACTAAACACTCTTACACATAACAAAGTGAAAAAATAAGCACTAGCGGACAGTAAAATCATGATTAACCATAGATTGCTTTTTAAGCTCTCAGTGATTCAGTATTAATGTATATGCGATAGTGTAAGTATCATTGTAAGGATATGCAACCATTTACTTTCTCAGGGTCCCATCCTCTGGCACAAATTTGTCAATTTCCCTTGGCTGTTTGTATTAATGTTTGTTTTTTTCCAAAAACTATTGACATTCTTTCCGGATAGAATAGAAATGATAAAATGCTCATCCACAACTATCTTCATTGTTTTAGCAGCTTAACTCCTCCAATCTAATACAAACAGAGGACTGTTTCACGTTCAAACCACTCCATTTGTGTTAGAATTATAAGCTAAAACAATCCTAACAGTGCTTTCTAGCTTAAAATCATAAAAAGCACAAGAAATTTAAAATGGGCATTTCGAAAATCTACAATATTCATCAAATCCAAAAAGATTCAACACAAAAGTAAACTTTTCTAAACTCCAAGAACCAAGCATTCACCAAAAGAATAAAAAAAAAAATTTTTTTGAGGTTAAAAACCAGGAAGGGACCTACTTGAGCAAGCGGAGATCCGAGATGGAACGTGGGATCTTGAGTTTCCCATATTCGGTGGCGGGCATGGTAAGGTAGATGCAGAACAAACCGGTAGAAAAGATCAAGAAAACCCCAAAAAAGGCAGCCAATTCCCATCTTGAAACCGGAAACCTTTCCGATTTTAACCTCTTCCCCGTTGGAGAATCGTAGTCTTCCTTGCTGTTGTTCAACAACCCCGCAACAGCACTCTCTTCGTCCCTCAACACATTCCTCGGCGCCGCCATTTTACAACACCGATAACATAAAAGGCCAAAGACAAAGCTGTTGGGAACTTGGGATCCCGCAAATAAATAAATAATAAATCGTCGAATTAAAGAATCATTGTTATGGCATTTTCATGAAATTGAAAGTGTTGTAGGGGTGTTTTTAAGAACCCTAATTTGAAGAAATGGAAAATAGAATTTGCAAGAGAGAGAGCGTTAAAGCAATGCGCTTTTATTTTTGAATGAAACGAAGAGAAAATGAGGAATTTGGAAGACAAGTTTGACGACGAAGAAGCTGGAAAATTATTTTAATTAATTCATTAATAGGATTTTGGGAGAATTTCAGCAAAGGTGATTTAATAAAAAGTTTTATTAATTAATATTTGTAACTCAATATTACAAATAATTATTATATAAATATATAAATATGTAACCAAAATTTATGTATAATCTTACAACATATGTACACCAGTAATTATAAAAAAAAACAAAGTTAAATGCGTTTGTTTTTTTAATTGCGCATTTAGTTAATTTTTAAAAATATTTTACTTTTCAAAAATGTGATTTTAACCCGAATAAAAAAACGCTCAACAATTACGTAAATTTGTCTAACAGGGAATGCAATGTACACTATTTATAATAAATGCACATTTAACAGAAAGTATATGTACAATGAACTTAAGCTATACGTACATCAGTAAAAAATTTTATATTCTCAATTTTAAAATATACACTATTGTATGGTTGTCTAAAATATTATAAAAATGAAATTTTTATAATTGTAGTTATTTTAATATATTTTTCTTGTTAAATTCATCTATAAACATAAAATTTTGATATTTTATCGATATACATTTATTATCAATTAATTGTACATATGTGTTCATTAAATGTACATATAATGTTTCGTAAAAGTACATACGACAATATTTTATAATTGCGATTTTGCATCATTGGATGTTGAGTTATACAAATAATTTTAATTTTCTTTTTATTAATTTTATGTAATAGATATTTCTATTTCACTAATTTTTTTTTATCGTAATACCTAATAATAAATGTTGCTAGTACGCCACCCCATTTTGTAATTTTTTTTTTCATTTTCCAGTTTTCCTCATCTGTCTTTTGGGTTGGGTGTAGAATATTTAAGTTTTTAGAGAGAATTTGACTTATCATTTTTTCCATATTCTATCCAAAAAAATTTCTTTAAAACACATTCACTTGTATCTCAAAATGTAAAAGACATAAGAAATAGAAATAATTGATTGTACGATTCTACAATAAAACAAATACACACAATTGCCCGTTCAAAAATAAGTGAATTTAAATCATATTTTCAAAGAAATTAAGAGATTACCATACGCTTATTAATTTATACTTTATTGTTATATGATGAAAAATATTTTTCTTATATTTCATAAATATAATTTTATATTTTTTATATTTGCAATATTCAAATTGAAAGTATTATTTTTATCTAATTAAACATTTCAAATATTTTTTAATTTAAATAAACTCATATTTTTCTAATCAATTTTGGTGATTTTCATGCAAAATAAAAGTTTACTTCAACAAAAATAAAAATGTGAAAAGCTCAATTAGGTACAACAAAAAGAAGGCCGTTTATCATAAAATTTTAAAAAAGTATAAAAACCTTTTAGTATTTTAGCAAAATTTTAAGTATTACTTACATTGAGAAATATATATATATATATATATGATTTATATTTGATTCATTATCAATAAATTAGATGATAATATCTCATTAATAAGATAAATCAGATGATATTAACTTGTTAATAAATAAATTTAAAAAAATTTTTTTTAAATATTTATTTTAAAAGTTGATATTTATTCATTAATAAAATGATATTATCTGATTTATTAATAATATATAAAATTTATATATTATTGTGCATCAAATATAAATTCATATATATAATAGAATAAACTTGTATCGAAAATAGTTATTTATATCAGTACATTTTATAAAATCTTTTTATATGCATGTAATTACTTATTTATTACTCATAAAATGTTATTTCTTATTACATGGATATTGCAACTTTTGTAAATTCAAGAATGTTACAATTTTGACTGTGTAAAAAATATTGAAACATTAGTAAATTCAAGAATATTAAAAAGTCATAATGTTATAAAATTCAAAACTAATTCAACTATTAATGCTAACTCTTCAATAGAAAATTAACTTTTTATTAGATTGAAATCTTCCATTTTTTCTCTAGATCTTTGATTTTCTCTCTCATAATATCAACATCCTCAATTTAGTTAAAAAATAAAAGGATTGTTTTGCTAAAATAATTTTTTTAAGATAATAAAAAATTAATTGATATCGTGCTTTTGTATAGGTTTGTTAAGTATTAATACATTCTTCATTTGTAAATGACTTCATAAACTTAATTTTATTTAGTAGATTAAATTATATGTTTTAGAGATCTTTAATCAAAATTAAAATATCTTTAAAAAGATAGATTCGACCAATAACATTTAACTGAAAAAGATTAAAAATACTAATAAGATTTTGATTTAGTGGTAAGAAGGAGGCTTTAAAACTTTAAGATTCCCAGTTCAAGTCCACTATGTATAAGTTTAATTGTTTAGTTAAATTATACTTTATTAGTTTATTATTTAATAATATAATAATTCATTATATGAATGTAATACTTGATTATGAGTGTAACATAAATAAAAAAAAGTTTTATATGAGCGTAATACTTGATTATAAATATAATTTAAGAAAAGATTAAAAAATAATTTTTTATTTATGTTTAGCAGTCAAATTTATGAACTTGTATTTGTCATAAACGATGGTTGCTAACTTGAGAATAGATATATATTTTATTATATAGAAACCCTGGTTGCATAACTTAAGAAACCTTTTCATAAGTACCAATAAAAATTTTAAGTAGAATAAGGATCAAAGTAAAAAAAAATAACGTTTATAAAAAAAGACCTAATAACTTAATAAAAAAATGCAAAAACTCATAAAATTAAAACGTGAGAAAAAAAGACTAACATTATTACGTAGACATATGCACTATTGCGCAATATACAAATTTGTAAAGATAATAAATGAGAAAAAGGTGAAGTGAAAACTTTCTACATACACCCTAAAGCTTGCAGGAAGTCTTCTCTCTTTATCATAACAAATCCATTCTTAATTTCTCTACTACATGTACTCTACTTTTAGCAATGCAATTATATTTTAAAATCTGAAGGACTTTTCAAACTTAGTTCCTATTAGTTTGAGATAAGAGTTTTATATGATCAGCACCTTGCATAAAAAATTGTAAAACTTTAGGCTTTTACTATGATCCAGGTAAGCAACCAAGCAGATGGCTAACGTGCTCTTCAGCATCTAGTTCGTAGTTTTGGGGTATTAGTGCTGCAGTTTGATATGGATAAGAAGTTGTATCAGCCAGCTGTGAGGCAAACAAGTTGTCCAAGTTCTTCCAGTCAATGTATTGGCCACTGTTATTGCTCTTTGCTTCATCACAATCCTCATTTGTTACAAGTTTCCCCTGGAAACCATCTTTTGTTGCTAAAGTTGGTGAAAGAGTAGTGGGGCTATCCAGTTGTGGAAGTTCCATTACTTGTTGGCTGTCCAAAAAATTATGGTTGGAAACAAGCTCTTGTCCTGAACCATAGGATTCATAAAAACTTGATCCTTGTTTCGTGTGAAGATGATGATGAGATGTACTTCCTATATCTGAAATTGGTATTGGAGGCCTAACTTGGCCGTTATCTCTGATATAGTAAGCATGGTTCCATGCTTCAAAGCCTTGCCTGTGATTAGGACTTGGTTTTCTAAATGCCCGGCAGACCACCCATCCTTCTTCCTGCAATTGGCAAAAATATTCTGTTAGTAACATATTTCGAAGGGAACAATTAGTTAAATCCTTTGTTGTTTCTCGATGAAGTAATCATAATGTTCTTATTCGGTAAAATAAAAATGATTTGTCTTTGGGAAGATTGAGTCAGTCAAGTGAGCGTCCTTGCAAATTTGTGCAACTAATGAGTAATGACTGATTACTTTTTCATTCCCCAAAAATATCCTTTTAACATGTTTTGACCTTTTCCCCTGGTAATTAATTCTCTATACAAATTACAGTAATTATAAATGGATTAGTGACAGACTTTGCAGCCATGACTAGGAGTGCGGAGTATACAAATAGCACTGCTTGATTAGTGACTAACATGCTTAATAGGATGCGAATAATTGTAATCAGCGGATTCAAGAATTTTTTTAAATCTTCATTTATTATAGTGAGTGTCTGTTGGGTGCTAAATGTTGACTGGTTTGGTGCTATAACTGGATATTGAATAATGGTAGTGAATGAAGTATTAAGGAATTGAAAAAGATACGTTCAAGGAAAATTTCTGGGGTGTCTAAGAGAAAGAAAAATTTTCCTTTAAATTTTCTTATTTTCCAATCATGGACACCCTACTATATCATTTGCATCTGCCACTGATCCTCAGTAATATATTTACGTTGAAGAGTTGAATAAACTTGCCTGTGGCGGTCCATTATGGGCAGTTTGGAGTCGATACTCATGCATGATCCAATCTGTCTTCCTACCATTAGGTGCACGACCCTTGTAGAAAACCAGGGTCTTCCTCATCCCTATAATTTTGTTCTTTGAAAGCACAGCTTTGTCCCTCCCTGTTGCCTTCCAAAATCCAGCTGCAGTGGCTCTATTAGTCCGTGTTCCTGTTGGATACTTCCTGTCTTTATGACTGAAGAAGTACCAGTCATTTTGTTCATCATAGCCAAGCTTACAACTAGCTGCAAACACCAAGCAAAACAAATATATCATGTGTCGGGAAAATCTGGTTTTGTAAATCAACCAGAACCATATACGTATTTCCCACTTAAAGTAGTCATTTTCCTGGTGCAGTTGGTCCATTAGATATTTTACATTTTTCTTTGCATCATAATAATACTGTCGAACATTGGTGTCAACTTGTAAAACAATAGTACCTTTAAACGGGAAAATACCCCTTTAAACTGTGGCATGGCTTGGTGATATTGATTAGTTTACGACTAAGGAAAAAGTGGACTAAAAAGAATGAGTGCTTTTTATATTTTATTGTACAAAATTTCAAACCCTAAGACATAGGTTTCTGCCAATTAGTTAAATTCTGATCGGTTCAAATCAAAAAAAGAAACCAATGAAAAAATGTACCAAAAAAATATAAAAAGCATACCTTGGATATCCCATGGCTCCATCTTGTATAGATCAATGTCCATAATAACATTTAGATCAATTTTCAGCGAGTTAATCTTTCTCCTGAGGTAATAACCTACCAGTTCTTCCTCAGTGGGGTGAAATCTAAAGCCTGGTGGGACGCATGACTCCAGTTCCATCATGGATCTACTCCTGAAAAACAAAACCAAAAATCAGAAAGTATGAGTGAAAGCATAAATTAAGTTTCGTCCAAGGTTTTATAACAATTTTGTTTAGTTTTGTTATGAGCTATTTATATATATTAATCACCTAATTATAATGTGTGGGATTATGTGAATATTATTCCTCTTCCAACAAACACAGGCACAGCCTTGAAGTTTGCATTTGGCGTAAGCCTAAAATAGAAGGCAAGTTGGAAGAAATCAGACATGACTCTTCAATGAAATGAAATCCCAAAGCCCACAACACAAGGGGATAGTGAAGTAAACACACATCTTTGCCCATAGATGTTATTTTCATAATCTATAGAAAGCTCATTCCTCAACTCTTAAGCTGCAAGAGTAGCTATTTTTGATTAAATAGTGGGTGAATGATGATGATGATGATGGAACTTTATGGGACCCAAAGCTGATTGGTCGACCCTTCATTTTTTTTTCTTCTTTTATCTCAAAAAACAAAAAGAAAGAAAGAATGTCAGGCTATATATATATATATATATATATATGTATGTGTGCGTGGAATCCACCAAAAGAAGGGTTTTTATCCCAAGTATAGTGTTACCTTATATATTTTGTTGAGTTGCATGAGCTTAGGCAAAGCAAATGGAGAAAAGTTACCGAAAAGCTTGACTTTTCTGGCAAAAGCATGTTGTTGTTGATGTGTTTCTTTGAGTGCAGTGCACTCCGTGCCCTCGTGGAAGTGGAAAATGTTTTCACACCCACCTGCTTGCTAGCTATAACTAATCCACTCATCATTAGCTCTCTCCTCTCTATCTCTACTCATTTTTCCAACACTATGTTAGGCTAAAATCCATCCTTGCTAATTCTCTCTCTCCTAGAAATTAGACCCACAAATTTTACGTGGTGCGACATCAAAGATTTTTTTTTATATTTAAAATTATCATAATTTAAATCTTAATTATTAAAATTAAAAATTTAATACTTTATCACGGTTCGCAAAAAATCAATATCTATCTTACTTAACTAATTAATATGACACCTTATTATATGAATTCATTAATTAATACAACTCTTCCATTTAGATCTTAACATTGATACTGGATGTGATTTAAAGACAAAACCAAACCCAGAAGTCAAGCATATATCTGTTAATTATCCATACACTTCCAAACATGGGGAGGGAAGATCACTTCATATGCATGCAACCCTAATTATATAGCAGAAAATTCACCCACTAAAAAGTAAAAAGAAAGAACCCCCTATCACAATTCACAAACAACCGCAGATTAAAGAAGGGATGAAGCTCCTATATATACAAGAAAGTTTTTGGCCGGTATATCAGACTAAATATATACTTACAAGATGAATTGGCTTGCGTTTTGATTGGATCTGTTTCCGGATTATCAAAAAAGAGACAAAAAAGAACAAGTAATTATTAAGAGAAAGTAAGAGGCAGCTGTATGTAGCTAGAAGAGAAGTAGTGTTGGAAATAGGTGAAATTAAGATGTTGGGCAGAGGAAGTTATATATGGGGAGGAGCTGTGAATCTTTTGAATTGCAAAGAAAAAGAGTGAGGATATAAATATATTTATAGCAAGAGAGAAGAGGTTATTGATTGCGCGTGGCGTGGCAGATGAATGAAAGGCTTGTTTGGACGGCGTGACACCAAATTTTCACGCCACCCCCACCCTCTCCCTCTCCCTCTCCCTCTCCCTCTCTCCCCACCGCAATTTTGTGTCCTAAGATTTTCCGCACTTTAGAAACAGCGACTGCCCTGAACCTCATCTCTTCCAAAACATAATAAAACCAAAACCATATAAAATTAGTCGTACTATTACTATGTAACAATGAATTGGACATTCCCACAATCCAGCTCCTCCTGTCTGTTTGGTGCGCCGCCCTTTGCCATTTGGCACCACTCCTTTTGTGCCAAGTGTGTCCCATGTCAGAATTACAAGCTGTCTATATCAAATAGCTCTAATCATTTCTGTTCTCGCTATCTCTCTTCAAGTATATAGTTTCAATGAGTCCCGCTAAAGCCACAGTCCTTTTCATCATCTCCTGCCCTTGGCTTTATCTCCTTTATTCTTCATAACTGAGATTTTCGATCTAATAATGACAACTTACTTAATTTTTTCCTTTTTTTTAAATACAAGTTACTTTTCTTACTCTTTTGCATAATCATAACTTAGAGGAATTTACTTATATTTCTTATCTTAATATTTTTTGCTAAATCGTACTTCTATCTTAATTTTGTTTAAAGTAAATTAATGCCTAATTTTTGCAATGCATATGGTGTATGAGAATGTTCAAAATAATTAAGGTCAACCATTAGAGAAATATTTACAGTAATTAGAGCTTCAGATCCAAATCAGATCCCAAGTTTGAAGGGCTACCATTTATAAAATGTGAGTGTTATCTACAAATCAGAAAAAAAAATGAAAGATAATCAATTAAACTTAATGTGTTAATCAATTGATCGGGAAATTAGTGTTTGAAAATTAGTTAGATAATAGCTTTGAACTAGTTTCAAATCAAGACAATTGGTTAAAGTCATGAACCAATCTATTGGAAAGGCTTGTATTACAATTGAATGCCCATGCATGGCAATCAGATTGTATGCGTTTCAGAATGAAAATAGCCTCTGAATTTAAAATCTTGAAATTATGGAGGATGAGTTTTAAGGGCAAAGACATGGTTGTCTCTCTTTGTCTAGCCTAAAGTCTCGTGGATATGTAATGTAAAAAAAAAAGAAAAATTACTCGCTCTATCTCATTGTATTTGCTTTCATTGATTTCTTGAATCAAACAAACTTAACTTTGATCATTATTTTTAATGAAATCATAAGATTATAAATTTTATAAAATTTAAATTTCAAAAATTTCAAAAACAACTTAAAATTTTAATTGATAAGGGATCAATTTATACAGTGTAAATTTTTTTTTAGTTTTACATTTTTTTAATCATTAATTTTAATAAATCCAAAAGATGAGATTAAATCATTTTTTCTTATTTTATTAGACAAAACTTATATGAATTTTTTTAGATGAAATTTATGAAGTTCCTTTTTAAAATTATTTAATAAAAATTTTAATAAAAAATTCAAACTAATAGATTGATAAAATTCAATGTGAATATCAATGATATGTAAAAAATTACTAAAATATTATTTATAATTTAAATTTAACTGATATTTATTCAACGGTAAAAATTTTATTAACATTTTACTAAAAATGTCTATCTAAAAAATTTATTAAACTTTTTTTAAAATTTTTTCAAATTTTGCAATTGATCGATGTAATGAAGCATTTCAATTTATCATTTATCATTTTGATTTTAATTTTTATTTAATTGTTTCTAGTAGAAAATTTCACAAACTTCATTTAAGAAACTTCATCTAAATCTTTTTCGTTTTTACTTGTTTTCTTAGTCATTGGATCAATTAAAACTAAAAATTAAAAAAAATGTGTAAAACTAAAAAAATTTTACACTGCATAAATTGATCTACTTCATTTTAATTTAATATAATATTTTAAAAAATAATGATCAAAATTGAATTCCTTTCACTGATTCTTTTAATCTGAAACCTCAATACCTAACCAGCCAAAAAGATTAGTGATTCTATGAAATTCATGTTGTTGTACGCAAAGTTTATTCACTGGTTAAGCAAGATTATTAGTTGGCATTCTCTTCCCATTAGTAAATATTCTAGAGGAAATTTAGGTTACAAGTGACTTGTAATCTTACTGAGATGGTGCTAGCTTTCATTTAAACCTCATCTCTCTTAAACAGTGGTCATCAAATAAGGCTAAAATAATAAAAAAATTTCAAATTTTATCATTTTATTTAGATAAGTTTTTATAGCACCCAATTAAGCCATTTTCTTTACTTTGTAACTAAATAAACCCTTATACTTTAATTTGTACATAAATCAATTTTAGTTGTTAATTTTTACCTAAATAAGATTTTTACATAAATTAATTTTTTGCTTGAAATAATGATTTATTTAGATATAAATCGAAGAATAAAAACTTATTTGAATACAATAAAAATATAAAAATTTATTTAAATAAAGTAATAAAATTTTAAATTTTTTTTATATTTTAGCCTATAAAATACTCCTATATTTTAACAATAGCTCAATTTCCACTATAATTGTGAGATTTGAAACTGTTTCCTTATAAACCAAATATAAATAAAAAGTTGAACCCATTATTAATTTTATTAGTTCATACAGCCATTTTACGAGGTGTCATATAATATTTTTAAAATTAAAATCATAACATATACAATCATTTTTTCTATTCTTTTATTCCTAAATTATGGTAAAAAAAAAAAATCAAAAGTTGATATTTCATTTTCAAAGGCTATAATAAAGAAGAGTCCAAAATCCGACCTACAATATTAGGGTGGTCTAATGTTTTTACTTTCAAACTTTTTCTGAACAAGGAATTATTTCATATGTACTAGCAAGCACAAAAAGGAAAGATATATCCGAATTACTCCAATGGATGAAATTTACCCGTTGACATTAACTTATCTTTTGACTTTGTAGCTTACCTCTCATTTTCAAAGAAGTAAACATGTCTCCCATTTCTGTTTACCCTTCCACTTACCAAACCAAAGAAAATGGGGTTGTTGTTTATTCCCATCCTTATATCGTCATTATTAATTTCATATAGTTCCCTATCATTATCTAATTATCTTCCTATGTCTCCACTCTAAACTGAACTTATTCAAACCTCCTTGGATGGCCGGTGCATAATGCAATGCTCCAAAAAGTTCATCTCAAGCATTTGACAACACATACATTACTCTTATATATTCATGGATCCTATATATGCTTCCATCTATGGCTCTATATGTTGACTTTTACCGTGGTCGATCCCCCTTTCTCATCTCATTTCGATCGATCCTCACTTTAAATATTATAACAAAACGTCCTTAAAAAACTCTTAAAAATCTTATAATTAGATTCCATGAATACATATAATTACTTTCCCATCTC